GTTCTGTTCATTTCACTCTTTATTTTGTGCAGGTCTTTTCATCTTTTATTAAAATCATTGAGTTCATCATTTCTTATGGCACAGTGGTATTCCATCACAACCATACCACCACAGCTTATTCAGTCATTCCCCAATTGATGGCATCCCTGCAATTTCCAGTTCTTTGCCACCACAAAGAGAGCTTCTGTGAACATTTTAGAACATATAGATTCTTTTCCTTTTTCCCTAATCATCTTTGGAAATAGACCAAGTAGTGGTTGTTGGGTCAAATGATATAGGTAATTTAATAATTTTTTGGGTGTAATTCCAGATTGCTCTCCAAAATGATTGGAACAGTTCAATTCCACCAACAATGAATTAGTGTCCCAATTTTTTCACATCCTCTCCAACATTTGTCACTTTCCCCATCTATTCTCAAGGTTGTTTTAATTTGCATTTCTCTAATCAATAATAATTTAGAGCATATTTTCACATGACTATATATTTTTTTTATGTCTTCTTTGGAAAACTGCCTGTTCATATCATTTGACCATTTATCAATTGGGGAATGACTTGTATTCTTATAGATTTGACAAAGTTCTTTTTATACTTTAGATAGAAGACCTTTATCTGATAAATTGTCCATAAATTTCCCCCTCAATTTTCTGCTTTCCTTCTGATCTTGGCTACATATATTTTATTTGTATAAAAACTTTTAAATTTAAAGTAATCAAAATTATCCATTTTAGACCTAACTTTGTTCTCTACCTCTTGTTTATTTATAAATTATTCATAAGTCTGATAAGTAATATATTCCATATTTTTCTAATTTTCTTGTAAAATCTCTCTTTGTGTAGATCTTGGTAAATGGTGTAAGATACTGGTCCATGCCCAATTTCTGCCATACTGCTTTCCAGTTTTCCCAACAATTTTTTACCAAATAAAGAATTCTTGTCCCAAAATCTTAAGTCTTTATACTTGTCAAATACAAGATTATTATGTTTATTTGCGCCTGTAAATTATATATCTGCTATATTGCATTGATTTATCTTTCTATTTCTTAGCCAGTACCAGATAGTTTTGATAATTACTGCCTTATAATATAGTTTAAGGTCTGGTACTGCTCAACCTCCTTCCTTTACTTATTTTTCATTATTTCCTTTGATATTCTTGACTTTTTGTTTTTCCAAATGAATTTTATTATTTTTTCTAATTCAGTAAAGAATTTTTTAGTAATTTAATTGGGATGGCATTGAATATATTAATTGGTTTGGGTAAAATTGTCATTTTTATTATATGGGCCCTGCCTACCCATGAATTAGTATTTCTTCAATTATTTAAATCTAATTTTATTTATAGAAAAAGTTTTTTTTATATATTTTTGTTTATGTAGTTCCTGGGTTTGTTTTGACAGGTGTACTCCCAGATATTTTATACTGTCCAGAGTTATTTGAAATGGGGTATTTTATTCTCATCTATGCTGATGATTTATGTGGACTTACTTTATATCCTGTTACTTTGCTAAAATTATTGTTTCAACTAAATTTTTAGTTGAATCTTTGAGTTTTCCATGAATATCATTATATTGTCTGTAAAAAGAGAGTTTTATCACCTCATTCCCTGTTCTGATTCCTTCAATTTCTTTTTGTTCTCTTATTACTATTGCTAAGATTTCCAGTGCAATATTGAATCATATTGATGACAGTAGGCATCTTTGTTTCACATCTAATCTTACTGTGAATGCTTCTAGTTTATCCCCATTACAAATAACACTTCCTGATGGTTTTAGATAAGTGCTTTTTATCAATTTAATGAGAAATCCATTTATACCAATACTTTCAAGTATTTTTATTAGAAATGAGTGTTGAACTTTATCAAAACCTTTTTCTGCATTTATTGATATAATCATTTTTTAACTTTTATTATTGATGTAATCAGTTATGTTAATAGTTTTCCTTATGTTAAACCATCCCTGCATTCCTGGTATAAATTCCACTTGATCATAATGTATAATCTTTGTAATATATTGTTGTAATCTTTTAGCTAGTATTTTATTTAGGATTTTTGCATCCATATTCATTAATGAAATTGTCTATAATTTTCTTTATCTGTTTTTACTCCTCCTGGTTTAGGTATCAGTATCATATTTGTTTCATAAAAAGAGTTTGGTAGAATCCCTTCTTTATCTATTATTCCATATAATTTATTTAATATTTGAATTAGTTGATCTTTAAATGTTTGATGGAATTCACTTGTAAATCCATCTGGTCCTGGTGCTTTTCTCTTAGGTAGCTCATTTATGGCCTATTCAATATAGTTTTCTAAAATGGGTTTATTTAGATATTCTGTTTCCTCTTCTGCTAATCTAGGCAATTTATATTTTAATAAACATTCTTCCATTTCACTTAACTTGTTAAATGTATTCGCATATAACTGAGCAAAATAACTCCTTATAATTGCTGTAATTTCATCTTTGTTAGAGGCATTTCACCCTTTTCACTTTTAATACTAGTGATTTGGTTTTTCTTCTCTCTTTTAAAGAGTCTACCTCTTTTAAAGAATTTTTGACAAAAAATCATCTCACCTACTCGTGATTGGAGTATTCAAGGTGACTTCTAGTTTGTTTAACTTAGATACTTCTGTCTTTTACATTGTTACTTTGTTTAACTGAATTCAGCTAACATTTTTAAGTGCTTATTATTTGTTAGGCACTTTGCTAAGAGCTGGGAATACAAATATAAGTAGAAAGATAATCTTTGCCCTCAAGAGCTTACATTCTAATAGGGGAAAATAACATTTGAAAAGGAGCAGAAAAGGAGAAGGTGGAGAGGCCCAATGGCAGAAAAATTCCTTTGGAGATGAGTCTGCCGTGTAGCCTGGACAGGAGTGAACTCATGGTTGGTCAGGGCTGCCTCTTTAAGATGGAATTCTAGGAAGAACCAGCCAGTAAGAGAGAGGCTTCAGGGGATGAGGGTACTTTCAAATATGACATGTAGTCCTGCGGTGGAGTAAATTTCCAATGTGAAGAAGAGATTTCTATAGAATGACAGACAAAGTCTCATGGAGGTAAGTCTTCAGTACTGTCTGGAGAGGAAAGAATATAAAACTGAATATTAAAAAACAAACCTGAATATAAAAACACAGTCCCTAGACATTGTAGGCCTTTTGGTTTTGGGCTTTGGGTCTGGATAGTACCAACCTATTGGGACATATTATATGTCCAGCCTCATTTCCTTGAATAAGATAAGAAAAAAAACAAATTGAAAAAATCAAGGCAAGATAAAACTTGCATCCTCTTGATTCATTTTTGTATAAGTAGATATATGCCTGTCAAAGTACCCCAGTATAAGTCTGGGGGTGTCATTTATAATAAACCTTGTAGTTCAGTTATTTTAAGTAGGTGTGGCCCTGTCTCTGTTCCTTAGTACCCTCCTGAGGAACGCTAGTCTAAACTTCTTCACTTGGCAGATTTACGTATAGCCTTCATAACTTTACAATTTTGTTCTAGTACTGTTTATGACCTTGTCATTCAGATAAGTTGTACTAATTGCTGTTAGATAAAATGGGTGCTAAATATTGAGAGATCATATTGTTCCAAATCTGTTGCAGTGCAAAGATGTATGGAAGAATACAGTTAATCAGAAATTCATCATTATAAAGTACTTATTAATCACTTAACATATTTTCTTATGTTTGGCTAGTAATTTTAGAAAATTTTGAAAATATGTATTCTTTAAATGAATAGCAATATTGAATGAGTCTGCTGAGATTAAAAAACATAATGGGAAATCAATATGCATTGAGTGGTGGGGAAACAGAATAAGAGTTTCTAAAAGGGAAAGCAACAAACAAAAAAGAAAATCAAAGAATTATAATCCAAAGGGATGCCTTTGATTTCCTCTTAAACAACTGGGGAATGACTGAATAAATTGTGGTGTGTGAATTAATGCAATGTTTTGCTGTAGGAAGTAAAAAAAGATGACTTCAGAGAATCCTGAATTGCATGAAATTATGCAGAGTCAAATTAATAGAATTGGGAAAATGATTTATATGAGGCCAGAAACATTTCAAAGAAAAACAATTTTAAGAGACCTAAGTCATAATCAATGCCTCTTTATCTCCAAAAGACCTATGGTGAACCATATTGCCCTACTCCTGAGTGAAAGGTGAAGGACACAAGGTTCAAAGACATACATTTTTGGACATGACCATTGCGTGTATAAGTTTCGCTTGACTGCTTACTTGTTCCAAGAGTTTTTTGTGTTTTTTTCCCCCATTGTATGTAATTGTTTTCACGTTGGACAGTCTTTTTATTTTCTTCTTATTCCCAATACTTAGCACAGTGCCTATTGTAGGAGCTTAATAAATGCTTATTTACTAACTGAATGAATGATTCTTTCCTTCTTCTGAAGCTCTGATAAGATACCACTTTTTCCTGGTAGTTTTCTTTGATTCTTACTTCTCCCTTGTGAAAAAGATCATCTCTCGTTTTCATGGAACATTTATCTGAATCTTTCCTTTACCTCTGTCATATTCAACTTTGTATCATATATATATATATACACGTATATATATATATATATACGTGTATATATGTATGGTATATTCTTCCTATTATAAGTATCTTGAAGGAAGAAAGTATATTGTTTTTAATATTTGAATCATCAGTATCTGTCATAGCCATGTGGTTAATGATTGTTGGATTGACTTGAATTATTAAGTAAAATTTTTCAAAATGGAAAACTTTAAAAAAAAAAGAATTCATAATTTGGTTCACACACAATGAAAAAGAAAGGGAGCTTATTTTTTTCCCCAGGACTGAATCTAGTTACTAATAGTATTTGCTTAGGTATGTGTACTTTCTGATTGAAACAATGTTACATACATAACATAGGCTAGAAAGAGGGTGTAGAAGGCTTGTTTTAATTTTAAAACAATGAACTTATCAGATCAATTAACTTATCTTAAGAGTACTCATCTCTAAAAACAAAAATTCAAAAAAACCTTCCATTTTTTGTTAGGCTTAGATCCAGATAAACATCTTGGAAAAACACTGGATCAAGTGGAGTCTGATCTCTGTGAGGTAAGAATTACTTACAGTTATTCAATATATTTATTTCAAAGGAAAAAAAGATGTGCTACCACTTGGTAAAATTAGCTTCACATTAAAAGCATGAGAAAAGCAAGTTTTAAGTTTCTAATTTTTGAGTGCTTTAAAAGTTTTATGAATTAGCAACAGCCCATTGGCCTGAGGCCCAAGAAAGTTGACTGTATGATATAGTATATTATAAAATTTGCTTTTTTTTTTCTTGCTATTCTAAGTACCATTACTGTGACCTTGGGAAATGTGGAGAAAATTGGGGAATATTTTACATGGTAGTGAAACAGTTCTCATACAAAAATAATATTAAGTATTTTCAAGGCTATTTCAGTGTTATTTTTCTTTATCCTTTATTGCTAAACAATTGTTATTTAAGTATTTTTATGTTATTGTTAGCTAAAGTTTTTCAAGCAATATCTTTGGCTAACATAAACTACTTTCCTTCTAGATTTCATTTTATGAAACAACGCATGGCCAAATAAATGATCAGTGTTATTTTTCAATGTATACCTATTGTTGTTTGCTTTCCTTTCAAGGAAACTTTGTTTTGGGGGATGAAACATATTTGAAGGTAGCCTATATTCAAACCAATTTGATAATATTTTCTGATGTTGCACATCATAGACAGTTTTTTTTAAAATTTACAAAGTATTTTATTTGAGCTTCAAAAAAACCCTGTGAAGAGCTGTAGCTATTACTCTCTTAATTTTATAGATGAGGAAATTAAATAGCTAAAAGTGGTAATTAACATACTTAAGGTTACACAACTAATAAGTGTCAGCTATGGGATTTGAGCCTAGGTCTTTCTGATCATTATTCTAACAATCCATCCTTTACACTACTTCTGTGTGTGTGTATGTGTCCCTGTATGTATGTATATGTGTGTATGTGTATGTGTGTGTTATGAAATATCCTCATTGAAAGGAAGAGTTTAATCTCTCAGGATTGTTAAAATCAGTCAACAAGCAATTAAGTGCCTACTATGTGCCATGTGCTGCCCCAGCTCTTGAGGATACCAGAAAGGCAAAACTATGCCCCAGAAACCTCTTCATCCTGATGCGTTACTCCAGCCCTGGAATTCACACTTTAGGAGTTCCCTCAGCCTCTGTGGTCTCTTCTTCCTGGAAGACTCCTCCCAGAAGTTCCATTAAGGAGGGTGCCCAAGTTGGTCATGTCTCATTCCTCTCTGGGCTACTACACTCTGGACTTCCTCTACGATGTTCCCCTCCCCACTTCCCATATATGTCTCAGTCCCACCCCTACCTGTCTTTTCAACTGCCTTTTTATGTTGTCTCCCTCTGTTCAAATGTAAGCTCCTTAAAGAAAAGACTTTCTATTTTTATTTTTATTCCCAGTTTTAGCACAGTGACTGGTAAGTAGTGGGCTCTTTATAAATGCTAGTTGACTGACTGTTCTGAAGGAAGTCACATTCTAACTGAATGTGTTAACTGAAGAGATAACATGCAGAAGCTATGTACCTACATACATGACCATTACGAAAGACACTAGCAGTAAAGGGAAGGAGAGGGAGACTGGTAAATCAGTTAAGAATTGAGGGTCTTAAATTTTATTTGGTGCTTTGCTTATATGGCCATAGTTGGCATATTTCATCTCAGTATACCTATGTGTTTTTTCTGTGTCAAATAACAATTTTGAAAGTGTCCACACAATTATAGTATATGGGAAAAATTAGTCTGGTTCTTCTTATCTGGACAACCCTTTCAGGCACCTCCTTGAAATTGAATGTCCCAAAGCATAACTTAACTAACTAGTACTACAACAAAAAGGTATACAGAAACATCTCAATTTGCAATCTCCAGAAGAAAATTTGAATATAAAAACTAGATAAAAGTAAGTTAAAATTTTAAAAGTCTAATTAGAAGTTTTCATAACTAGGAATTTTTGTCAGCTGTTATTTCTGCACATTTAGAGGAAAGTATTATTATCTGAAGAGATTTTAGAGACTCTTACCTAGACTAGCATTTCCATTTCACAGATCAGAAGAAATTAAGGTTCAGATGAATAAATTGTTCGAGTTCACATGGCTAGTTTTTTGACATTCATTATGATCACCTTGAGCCACTGAAAAATCCTTACGGTGCCTTTTGAACTGTGAAGGAAGGATTTAGTTAGCTGTAATATTAAGTATTTTATTATTGTTATTACTATATGTATATTATGTTGTTATAACCCAAATAACTCTATCTTAACCTTTTTTTCCCTGTCAAGTAATTAATATATGCCTTTCCTCCCTTTCAGCTTTAATTTTTTAAACCTTTTTCTAAAAACATTTCCTTTACTCCATTCTTTTTCTTAATTCTCCTTTCTTTTTATCTGTTCTAAGCATTTACTCTTTGATTTAGTCTTTCTACTTATTTTTTCCTTCTTTAGTCTCTTTATGCTCCACATGGAATTAAAGTTACTAAAGTGCCAATTTGGAGTTTTCTAAAGAATTTCTGTTTCTATGCTTTGTAGATTTTGCCCCCTAACCCCTTTTTCTCTGTTGTGCCTTATTCTTCAAAGTATCACCCCGTGGGAGGTAATGAAGACAGAAGTACTGCTCTGTGGTAAAAATTTCCTTGTGTACATTATCATGAGCACATTCCACCTCTACCCTTGGCCCCCCCATGATCTTTCTATTTTCTATTTACTATGGAATCTCCTCTCTGGGCCCATACCCTCCTACCCTTCTTCTTTTTAAAATTCGATTCACAGAACAAAACAAGCATTTCCATAACACAGTACAATAAAAAAAAGATGATTGCACAGGAAACTACAAATCTACCATGTACAATTTGCTATTCCCTTCACATATACAACAAATTTATCATGTAAATTTATTTTTTTCCCCTTTTTTCCCTTCCTCCCCAGCTCCTACCCTAGAGACGTCTACCATTAGACATAAATAGGTATATATATATATGTGTGTGTATATATATATATATATATATATGTATAATTATTCTATATATACTTCTATTTGTCATTTCTTTCTCTGGATGCAGATAACCTCTTTCTTCATATGTCTTTTATTTTTAATTTTCATATTTATAGTAATGATTATTATATACAGTGTTCTCTTGGTTCTGCTCACTTCACTTTTTATCATTTCGTGCAAGTCATTCCATGCCTTTCTAAGATCATTGAGCTCATTATTTCTTGTAGCACAGTAGTATTCCATCACAACCATCCACCATAACTTCTTCAGCCTTTCCCCAGTTGATGGGGATCCCTGCAGCTTCTAGTTCTTTGCATCACAAAGAGAGTTGCTATAAATGTCCCATTCACATTGAAGTTATAATTAATTTATTCAGCTCTTTTTCTTTCTCTGAGAATTTGAAATTTTGTGTTTATGGCAAACCTCTTAAGTGTATTCACTACAAGCAACAATTTGGCTTATATGGGAAAAAATAAATGAATATTCCCAGGAAGGTAATCCAGGTGTGTTAAAGGATCAATGCAAATTTTGTGGATTGAATAAAACATCCTTAGAGTTGGAATATTTAAAAATTATGCTAGATTACTATAATTCTCTTTTCTCACTACACACATATATACACGTATGTGTATATGTGTATATAATATATACATATATACACACACACATGTCTGAATACACACACATACACACACACAGTGGTTACTAACCTTTTGCTCATTTGGAAATATTGACTTCTGGAATAACACAGTTATATAAAATTTCTCTGCTCATTTACTGTTTTTTCCCATTCCTTGTACAAGGTGAATGTTATGTGTTTACAGAAAGAAAACACAAAATACAACTAATTGGCCAGTGCTCCTAGAGCACAATGATTCTAACAGCCAAAAAAAAAAATTCGTCTTTCTATACTTTAATCTCTTTTACGTAGTATATGTGAATTCTTGAATTTAATATGTACAACTATCACCTGCATCACTGCCCAAGACAAATCAGATATTTAAAAGTTCCTAAAGCAACTAATCTTTTTGAGTAATGGGATTTAACCATATCAAATAAGATGAAATGACTACATACTCATCTTTTAACTTGTTAATGCAACTCTCAGGAGTTATTAAGAAACTTCAGAGTAAGAAAGCTATAACACCACCACTCTAAAAATTTTATTTGTTTAATACTAGACATAATAATGGAAAAATCTACTGGCTCTTGAGTAGTTTATGGCACTGTATCAAATTTTGCACATATAAATTAAATTTAAAATAAAATATTAAGATTTTTCTTAGAGACACAGTAAAACAATTCCCTTTATTTTACTTCTCATATGAGGATTAGGCGATAACCATAAACACGTATATGAATGAAGTAACATATGTATGTATAAAATCACTGCATACCATGTGTCCTGCTTACAATGAACATAAAAGAATCTAATGAGAAACTTCCAGATATAAGTCTTAAGATCACAGATTTAAAACAGGAAGGAACCTTAAAGGCCATTGGCTCCAACCCATCATTTTATAGATGAGGAAACAGAGGCTCAGAGAGGTTAAAAGACTTACTTACCCATGTCTCACAATTGGCATCTAAGGTGAAATTTGAACCCAGGACTTCCTGACTCCCAAGTGACCTATGTACTACATCGTGCTTCCTCTTTATCTTTAAAACCTTTGCACATGAATGGACCAGAGGTTATGTGCAATTGCTGCACATGTTATTCATATAGTTACTCATCTAAAGGCATCATAAGTTTTTCACTGTATAAATCACTGAACCAGAAACCTGGGTTCAAGTCCCTGGTTTACCATTAATTAACCTTACACATATAATTTATTCCATCTGTGCCAAAGTTCATCTTATCTGTAAAATGGAGATAATAAAACCTGACCCTTCCAAACTCAACAGAAGTCATACCTTGAAAATAAATGAGATAACAAGTGGCACACTTTGGAAACTCCCTTCCTTTCCCACTGCCACTAGAGCCAAATTTGGTGGTAGAAGGTGAGGGAAATTGGGGATTGGTAGATGAAGATTTCTTGGTCAG